TTTACATCAGACTTTGGATTTTAAACTGCTTTTTTTTTTTTCTGTGAAGGACCTCTTGTTCAGGCAGTGGCCTCCAGATTTACCCTGGTCAGGATGGTGCAGTGTCCTAAGGAACGGATTCACTCCTCTGAGTTCCAGGGCACATACTACATAGACTTGAACAGACTGTAACAGTAACACATCTGTGGGCCCAGCTGTTTTATTGCTCAGTACATTTTATGCATAATAGTTTAACACACTGAAATTAGAAACCTATTTGGCTGTATGGTTACTTTATGGCGATTGTGAATACTGAGCATTTTGCTTCATATTGACAGTCCTTTTCACCAAAAAGTTTGTAACCGAATCACAAGCACTTAAGACATGTTATCTGTGATTAATGGTCCTTTCATCGTCATTTACAAGCATGCCAGAGTTATCTTTTCTGCTTCGCTGCTCTGGTAATTAATGCAGTATGACCCAGCTGTGAAAGGTTCAAATATATTTATTTTATCCTCTGTTTTTCTGTCTGTTTTAATTTTTGTCCTTTATATTCTTCATACATACAGACTTTCAGATATGTTGTTTTGTTACCTGTGTTGTATCATTTACCTGATGTTTTGTACATGTTCACAAGAAAGTTTCAGCCAATACCGATGACGTGCTGATATTAACGTGCATCCCTAGTTCACATGATCAGTAAAGTTCAGACTCTTATTTTCTGTTAATGTTGAGAAAGAGATATAATGAGTCCACATTTAAGACAAATAACCAACTTAAACTTTAATATTTGTATATTGGAATTTAAGGCATTTTTAGACCTCCAGGGCCTGCAGACATCTGGCCCACTGCATCAATACACACACACTTTAATGTTTTCTTTCAACAGTGTATTGTGGATAACCAACGTACAGCAGCTGAAGCTGTGAGTAAATGTATTAAGAAAACCTGAGCTAATGATTCACTGCTAAAGATTAAAGCAAGAACAGTGATTGTCAGAGTGAAATGTTCTCCCTGATGAATTCACTGGATGTTTGTCTGAGGTGTAGAGAAAACTATAAAATACTGACTTCTGAATCTCTCTACATTTCAGTTTCTCTCTCTCTCTCTCATCCACTCGAGGAGTGGAGAGGTTATCCTGGACACTCCATGGAGTTAATTGAGATGGGCGAATGATTTATATCAAATTATTGGAAGTGACATTCCTCCCTCTCTCTGCATAAAATTGGTATATGGTCTAAATAAAACATTAAGTGTAAGGCCTTTGCTGTGTGAAACAGCACCTCCTTTTTTATTCCCAGAATGTCACTAACATTGTATTTCATAAAAATGTGTTAATTTCTTATGACTTCAGTGGAGGCAGTCAGGTATTCAGCAGGAACTGTGTCTGCAGTAAACAGCCAAGGAAAACCATGAATTTAATGGGTTATCTTGATGATAAAATGCATGGATTGTGCGTTTTTGGGCAGGATGTTTATCTGTTTTTTTTCTCAACTTAATTAAGATAAAGGGCAAAGAGAAATGGCGCCAACGTAGTAACATTAACAACATATACTGGCTCCAACACAGCCCGTCGCGTCATCTGTGTTGTGATCATTTGAGCAAACCTCTAAGCTGATTGCACCTGCCAAGCTGTGACAGCCAATTGCTCACTGTCAAATCGAATTGTGTTTTAAATGCTCTGCTAACCTGCTGCTGCAACCATTACATCAGTGCTTACAGTGCAAACTGTGCAGCCACCCCGGCTTCAACTCAACGTTCATTATCTTCATTTAATGGATGGGGATCTTCCAGAACATGTCTCTACTGCCAAACTCTGCAGTTTTTTTCTACTTTCTGTTTGTTCTTAAACATTGATCCACAGGCCCTGCTAAGCCTTCAATTTCTGTTAGGCTTATATATACGTATATATATGGTACGGTCACTGTGAGGTGCGCACATATCCACTGGAGTTTCCTAATTATACTCAGGTGTGTGAGAATGTGGCAGTTGATTGAGCGCTCATGGGGAGACCCCAGTTTTCTGGAGTGCTGCTCCTGGAAAACCAGTCCATCTGTGTTGGTTTCTTTTCTTGCCTCTTCTACACGCTCCTGGTTCAGACTCGTAACGTGTTAAGATAACCTCTAGATGTGATTAGTCCATAACAATATAAGGACTAATCAAGTCAACAGCACCAAGAAGTCTGCCTTCAACACTGTCAAGTACGATGCCTCGCTTAAAGGACACTTCGAGCTCTAGTTTCCCGGCGCGGCGCAGGGTGGCGCAGGGTGACCAACCCCACGCAGAGCTAGTTTCGAGCAGCGCAACTCGAGGCATGCTCAGTTTGGTAGTTTGGCAGACCGAGGTGCGCTGAGATGGGTGTGGCGGCACAGCAGGGGGAGGTGTCGACAGATCCAGCTTGGCGCAGTGACAGTTTTGTGCCAAAAGGCTTCACCGAAGGTGTGCTAAAAGCTCGCCAGCTGAAACCAGGTCTACTGTTAGCGCAGGCGGAGCGCAGCCGGTGTAAGCCGAAGTTTGGCTGACCAGCGGACAGTGCACACACGTCACCAAAACCTCACAGGCAGGTTTCCAGAATATCAGGCACATTAACAATGCAATAAATACCCAAAAAACCCACTATGCAATGCAACTATCTGCAATCAGCACATAAATGTATCTCTATATCGACTGTCCCGTCACATCTGATGTCAGATCAAAGGGGATTGGCACCGTTTGTCACATTTGGCACATGTAATGGAAACCCAACCTGATTTGATTAACACAGCTGCAAACTAATGAGTTCACATCCCTCTCAGCCAGCCACAAACAGCCACAGCATCAGATAGGGAGTATATATTCAGCATCTGTCATCTTAGAAAAGTCAAAAGAAAAGAAACAGAGTGAGACTGCGAGAGAGAAAGAGAGAGCGCGGGCGCGCACGAGAGAAACGCAACATTGATTTACAATTGTGGTGACCTCCTCCCAGGCTACCTTTGCATCATCAGCCCGTGGAGGTCTGCTCACAGTTCTGTATATTCGGACACTGCGAGCTTGGACCTCCCAGACCAAAACATCAGTTTCCTCCTGGGAGAAGTTTGGCTGTCTGACACTGCTGCTTTCTTCTGCCATGGCGAATTGAGTAAACTCTCATTACGCCTTCGCGTGGCGCATTTAAGGGCGAGGAGAGGGGCTCATTTGATTGGTGTGATGTGTGTAAAACCCACTCCACGCCTTCTCTCCTCCCTCTTTCCGACTTGCGCAGGTAGGAGGGACGGAGGTGGGAAAGAGGAGTAACTGCGCCAGGCGCACGGTGTGCCAAACTTGCAAAATCCACCTGGCCACACCCAGTTGGCGAAGTGCAGGGGCGCTGCGCCCCCGCCTTGCCCGGTCTGCGAAACTAGAGCCTTTCATGTCTACGGTGCAGCCATCATCAAAGACAGACATACGTGTGTGTGTCATTGTTTTTTTTTCTCCACCATATTGAAATGATGACAGTGTCTTGCTCCCCTCTATGACCGCTGGCTTTTTAAACCACCTCCTGAGTGTTGCTATTAACAGCTTTGCCTTCCAACATGGTTGAACAACACGTCTCATGAAATAGTTCTTTCCAAGCAACAGAGTTGTGAGGCTGGACTTTCACTAGACATGATTTATTATTGACCTCTTGAGAATCCAACAAAAGTATTTGGATGAGATTAGCGGGGGGGAAGGCTGTCTGTGCTTGTCTTTATGCCCTGCTGTCAATCCTACTTTAATGTGGTTAAGTGGCCATTAAATAATTGACAGACAGGTGCTTATTTGTTGCATTAGGATTCCTCATTTCAGACTTCAGTCTATTTATTTATTCATTCATTTTTTGCTGCTACTTGCCAGTGGTAGTGGCAGTGGCACTCTTATTTGTGGTGTATTTGTGAGGGGTGCAGGGCACTGTAGCGGTGATGCTCTGAGAGTAAATGCTTTCAACACAGGCTGTGTCTTGTGCAGCAAAATAATTGCAGTCCACTGCCATTAAGCCACACTCAATGAAGCCCCATTAAGTTAACAGAACATTTTCCATGTTCATTCAAATTAAAAAGCAAGTCAAACTTGGTCTGAACCAACAACAAAAATGATACAAAAAAAGACCTGCTAATGTAACCTGACTCTACAAAGCTTTCTCAAAAGCACTTGTGAGGTGGTGACTGTCATTAAACGAATGAAAAAGTTGCTGTCTGGCCATTTCCATGTATAGCAAGGCCACTGACAATTTCATTCAATAACACGCAGGGGAGCAGTTAGTGTTCCTAATGGGGAGTTAGTTATATTGGAGTGTGAGAGCAGCCTAATAAAATCACTGAGGGTCTGTATCTCAACACCTACTTTCACTGATGAGTAGATTCAAACAGGTACATATTCTAAAATAATTTAAGATACTGCCTCAATTTATGGCACATTACTCTGAAAAACCTTTCACAACAAACCTACACGTCCCCACTCCGTCTGAATAATTACATTATTAATACACTGTATGGACATTTTTCAAAATAATGACACTGACAGGATAGCTGTAGTAGCTACTGAATAATATGCAAATTACAGGCATTTCAAAAGGAGCCAGACAACAGCATTAAACAAAAGACTGTGAAATACAGCTTACACAACACATCCAGGGACCCTCATATCTCTGCTGTGCAATTAATATAAAAGAACATCTCCCCTGCACCTAAAATTACTTAATAACCTTGTAGATTAGACAAGAGGAAATGATTTGATTCATTGAAAAATCCATTTTATCTTCTCTTGATAATGTCCTAAGTCTTTTGTACAGATGTCTAATGAAAAGGGTCAGTTATCTAAATGGCTTATTATTCATAACAATTGGTGTGCAAGGATTTAGAAAGAACTTCTGTGCCTCTACTGCATGCTAATTAATATACCACTGAGGGATAAGAACTGTAAAATTTAAATTTTATCTCAAGCGGTATTTTGTCACACACACATATACCAGTGTGTCCGCAGAGACAGAGACAGAGACAGAGACAGAGAATGAAAGAGACACCTACATTTGGTTGTTGGGGATTATCTTGTGCCCGTCTTTGTACCATGTGACTACAGGTCGGGGGAAAGAGGCGAGGGGAGGCTGGCTGATGATGGCTGCTCGGCCCTGGGTCACCGTCTTTCTCTGATCTTCAGCAGAAAAGTTCCCCATGACTGGAGGAGCAAACAGGTATGAAAAACATGAGCATCAGTACCGATGTATAGAATCAATTTCAGCCAGAAATTAAATGAATGCAATTAAAATCACTGGAAAAAAAGCAGCATTAAGGCCCGGTCACACCAGAAAGTGGCACATCAAAATTCATCTGTGTGGCTTAAGGAAATATGTGTTTGTAGAGGGGTGGGGACGTAGTGAATATAATCATAGGATAAGTTGGTAAACTACGATGGCTGGCGAGCTAACCTCTAACATGCGAGCCAGCCAGGAACATGTTGGCACCACGCAGCAAACCTCCGGGCTAAAAAGTAAAGCCAATGCAGAAGTGACAAAAACTGCAGTTCCTCTAATGGCCACTTGGCTGGCTTCAAAACAGAGTCAATCCCCCTAGACCCCCATGTTTAAATGCAGAAATAAACATGTTTACAGCCTGGTACAAAAAACTGTTTTGGGCTGGATTACAATAATCAATCATCCGATTCAAATCGATCTGCATTTGAATAACAAATATCGATTCACAAAATCTGAGATTGATCTTTTAATTCCGCTTTTCCCATAGATGTGTGAAGCTTTAACCCCGTTAATCTCACTGGTGGTAAATGGGCTGTGGCGCTAAATTATTAACGACAGCAGTCTTGAGAATGTCCAATGTTACTGACTCTTTTATCTGTAACTGTTAGCTTACTGTTTTACATGTTGGTGTAATTTATTACTGTACTGCTGCAGCCTCTCCTCCTGCTGTCTGTGCATCGGGGCTGACACATACAGATACAGAGTTGAGATGCCGCGGTGGAAACAGAGAAGTGAAGATAACTTGAGCCGACGACAGCGATACTTGTAACAGTAAGTGCAATAAAACCTCCACGAGGATAAAGTTTAAACGGACAGGAGGACTGACTGATGTCTCTGTTCCTTATTCTTTCTAAACTTCACTCAGTATTGTGATGCCAGGAATAAGTTTACTGACATTTTAGATTTGTTTTCTGTGAGATATTGACTTTGCTGCTCTAGAAACAAGATTTAGTTATAAAATATTCAGTTTTAATCCCATTCTCAATTTATTCTTTTTTTTTTCTTTTTTTTCCACAATGTGTTTATTGTCAATTTTTTTTCTTAGAACAACCCAACAGTAAAACATAACATAACAGTAATATTAACAATACAAGTTAGGACTACACATATTCACATTACCCAGACACACATACTCTCACACACACACACACACACACCCTCATCCCCTTGCACCTATCTAAAGTAAAATATAAATAAAATAAAATAAATATTTTCCATCATCATTTACAATTTTCTTTCAGGTAGAACCCACCTTTCCATCTTTAATTATATTCATATATGGTTCCCAAAGCTTAACAAAGTCTTTCCGTTTGCCCTTAGCAATGTAAGTTAGTCTTTCCAGACCAATACATTGCGATAGTTCCTTTATCCACAACCGTAGTGATGGTGCTTCCATGCTCTTCCAACACAGCGCAATAGCCCTCCTGGCCTGGAGAAGTCCAAAGTCCAATAGTTTAGTCTGCTTCAAGGTCCGTTTAAAGTTCTTCGGATATATTCCAAGTAAACAGAGCCCGGCATTTAAAGGGACTTTGGTGTTAAACAAGTCTGACAAACATTTTAAAACATCCTTCCAAAAATCCTGGATCTTTAGACATTCCCATTGACAGTGAAACAGAGTACCTTTCTCAGTCAAGCATTTAGAACACACATCAGGAATATTAGCAGACATATGATGAAGCCTGACAGGGGTTATATACATCCTCATAAGCCACTTATATTGGAGTAATTTAAACCTTGTATTTATTGTCTGTGTTTGTGCTTTTAAACAAGCATCATTCCAATCCGTCTCATCAATATCCTCCTTAATATCCAGCTTCCAAGCGTTTAGTTTATCGCGTGCTGATTCAGGACTATTTGCAACCAATATGTTGTAATATCTAGATACATGTCCTTTCCCTCCTAAATTTACAAGTGTAACTTCCTCAAGTTTTGATAAGGGTGGTATACACATTATCTGTTCGGGTTTTTTGACATATAACTTTTTAACTGCAAATATTTGAAGAAGTGTTTTTTTGGAATTTGATATCTCAAACACAGCTGATCAAAGGAAAGCAAAACTCCATCTTTGTAAAGATCCATCATTTTCTGAATGCCTTTCATATTCCATGACCTAAATCCTCCATCTTTCTTACCGGGTGTGAACTGTGCATTACCCCAGATAGGCGTGAATTGAGACAGTGTTGGCATGTCACCCACATGCTTATGTGCAGCATGCCATATTGAAATTGTATTTTTGAGAAAAGGATTTTTTGTGTGCTTTTTTAATGTCTTTATGTCAGAGGAATATAGATACAACTTTAATGGTAAATCCGGAACAGACTCCTGTTCAATGTTTACCCAGGCTGGGGGTGCCGCTGTGTAAAAATAATATGATGCTGCAGTCAGTTGGGAAGCCATATAGTACCATCTAAGATTTGGAAGTTGAAGCCCCCCTCTTTCATAAGGCAAATATAGTATCTTTAGGCGGAGTCTAGCTTTTCTATTATTCCAAATAAATTGACCAAATAGTTTATTAAGTTTATCATAGAACTTGTTTGATAATGGCAATGGAAGTGTTTGAAAATAGTATAAAAATTTAGGTAAAATTGACATTTTTATAAGATTTATTCGACCCATCATGGAGATAGGCAAATTAGACCATCGATTCAGTACTTCAGTTACACCATCCACTAGACGGTCATAGTTTGTTGGGATTATTTCACTGAGTTCAGGAGTGATTTTAACACCCAAGTACCTGAAACCTTCAGTAGTTGTCATAAATGGGGTATCTATTATGGGATTATGTCTTTCTTCCTTATTGAGAAACATTAACACTGATTTAGAATTATTAATTTTGTATCCGGATAACCCTCCAAAAGTTTCAATTAATCTCATTAGACTAGGAATACTATTTTTTAAATTTGTCAGGAAAAATATGATATCATCCGCATATAAAGAGATGCGATGATCCACCTCCCCAATTGTTATACCTGATAAACTCTTATGTACTCTTACAGCCATAGCTAAAGGTTCAATTGCTAATGTAAATAATAGTGGAGATAATGGACAACCCTGGCGAGTGGATCTCTGTAGACTAAAGGGTTTTGAGATGGTATTATTGGTTAGAATCTCAGCGGTTGGGTTTGTATATAGCAGTTGAAGCCATTTTAGAAACGTTTTCCCTAACCCAAATCTTGGAAGTACTTCAAAGAGGTAACCCCATTCTATCCTATCAAATGCCTGGCTTGCATCAACTGACAGCATTGCTGTGTCCTTTGCGTCATATTTCTCATATAGTATATTTAGGACTCTTCTTATATTGCGATAACCTTGTCTATTTTGTATGAAACCTTGTTGATCATCAATAATCAGCTGAGGGAGATATTTATCTAATCTTCTAGAGAGCATTTTACAAAGAATTTTTATGTCACATCCCATTAAACTAATTGGCCTGTAAGACGAGCATTCGGTTGGGGGCTTATTTGGTTTTAATATTAGGGTTATTATAGCTAACCTTAAAGAATCTGGGAGTATTCCTTTCATAAATGACTCTTCATACATGTCCAGAAGCGGCCTTAATAGCTGTCTTTTAAATGTTTTGTAAAACTCTATTGGTAACCCATCTGGTCCGGGTGCCTTACCGCTACTGATGTCCCCTATAGCTTCATCAAGTTCTTTTGTTGTTAATGGACCATCTAGTGTTATTTTCTCGTCCTCTGATAAAGTCGGAAATTGCAACTGGTCAAGAAATGTCTTCTGAGCTTCTCTATTTTCTGTACATTCAGATTTGTATAACAATTTATAAAAATTTCTAAAATTGTTATTTATCTCTACGAGGTCCATAGTTAAGTTGCCAGAGTTTGATTTTATACTATTTATGGTTCTTTCAGCTTGCATTTTCTTTATCCTCCATGCCAATAATTTACCTGCCTTTTCCCCTTGGTCGTAGTATGTTTGTTTAATCCACATTAGACTTTCAGCAACTTTATCAGTTGTTAACTTATCATAACTAGCTCTCATAACACATATGTTATGTAATTTTACAGGGTCATTATCATTATAAAATTCAGTTTCAGCTTTTTTGATTTGGTTTTCTAGTGAATGTAATTCTTGGTTGTAGCGCTTGGTCTTAGATCTCTTGTAGCTGATCATTTCTCCCCTAATGTAGGCTAATGCTGGCCGTAGTTTCATTTGTATTTGTTTCAAAATATTTATCAATGCAACTTTCCACAAATTTCACGAAGGATGGGTCCTGTAGCAGATAAACCTGTAGCCTCCATCTTGAGCAGCGCTCAAACTTACCTAAATTAATCTCCATAGACACTGATGCGTGATCACTAATTACTATACTATTGTACCAGCTATTCTTGACATTGGACATCAATTCCTTAGAGATTAGGAAATAATCAATGCGCGAGTGGGTTTTATATAAGCTTGAATAGCAAGAATATTCCCTCTTATTTGAGTTCTGTGATCTCCAAATTTCAACTAATCTTAGATCTTCCATATAGTTAGTTAGTGTTTTTCCTATTTGTGTATGAGTCATATCAATTTGTGTGGATCTATCTAACACTGGATCGAGGGCACAGTTGAAATCTCCCCCAAAAATATAAAGTCCCTCCAAGGCTGACACAGTAAGAAATAGCTTTTCAAAAAATGATGGATTGTCTTTGTTAGGACCGTATACATTTATAAGATTTATTTTTTGTGACATAATATTACCTTGAACCATAATATACCTTCCAGATGGATCTTGGGTAGTGTTTATGATTTGAAATGGAATTGATTTGTGTATAAGAATAACTACGCCTCTTGCATAAGTACTGTGGGAAGCCTGAAATACCTGACCTGGCCATCTTTTACTCAAGGAGTGTATGTCTGAAGTAATCATATGCGTCTCTTGTAGAAAGACTATTTTTGAGTTGAGATTTTTTATCCTGTTTAGTACTTGTTTCAGTTTGGCCAATTTTCTCATTCCCCTTACATTCCAGCTTGTAATTTGAATGTCTAAAATATTCTTCTGTTTTGATTTATCCATTAAATACTATCTCAGCCTAATCTAAATTTTAGAAGCTGTAAAAAAAAATAAAATAAATAAATAAATAGAAGTGGTGCAAGTACAACCTCTCCCTTCCACACATATCCAACACACACACACACACACAGACAAAATCCTACACATACAACTACAACATTTCGAACAGTCCCACCCTCGAACCTAGCATTTCTACTGCTGAAATGCATACCCTCCCTTTTAGTTCGTAAATTTGAGGAACGTTGATCCACAGTATTTGGGGAGCAACTGGTCAGCGTGACCAAAAACTCTAACAAAACAATCACTGCCATCCACCACGCACTTCACATTGCAATATATGTATGTACATCCCTTTCAGAGTATAAAACTATGCAACTTGGCCATATTAAAGTAATATCCCCACGTTTGATAATCATCAGTTGCAAGATATGTAAATAAAATCTACCCAATCCTAATAGATTTGGCGCTAAAGAAACACTGGCCTACAGTATTAAGTAATAATGCAAAAATAAAAATTAAAATAAAAAACCTATATATTCATAACTCACAGCGACAAAAGCTTACTTCAAAATAGCTGGACTTCTACAGCTGTTGCCCACGGCTAATCAGCTGTTTCTTCTGTTGGAATTCAGTTCACTGTGGTGGCTTGTGGCTTGGCTGTGGGATACTTTTGTAGAACATTTCAGCTTCCTGTGGCGTTGAGAAAAGATGAATCTTGCCATTGTACAGCACTCGGAGTTTGCAGGGGTTGTGTTGAAATCCCCGGAAGGCGTTGATATCAACAAACAGCTTTGTTATCGGGTTGAACCCCCGTCGGATCCGCACTGTTTCTGCAGAGAGATCCTGTGCGAACGTTATCTTCACCCCATCGTGTGTGATGTCTCGCTGCCTTGATTCACGGTAAACAAACTCCTTCTCCTGAAACTTCAAAAAACGGATGAGGATGGCTCTGTTCTGGTTGGGCTTCCCCGACGCTAACGTGCGATGAACACGCTCCAATGTGAATGATCTGTCAGGGTCCGTCCCCAGCCATTGTGTCAACTTGTCGTTAATGAAGTCCATGAGTGTCTGATGACCCTCGGCCCCTTCTCGTATACCAAACAGACGTAAATTCTTCCTCCTGCCCCGGTTCTCTAAATCGTCTGTCTTGGACTCAAGATAGGCGATTCGCTTGGTGGCTGACTGAAGTGAAGTGCCGTTTCGGTTTTTTCAAGGGCACTTTCTGCATCATGTATGCGGCGTTCAGCCTCTTCGATGTGTGTTGTATTAGAGGAAACATCTCGCTTTACCTCAGACACATTGCACTCCAACACCGCCATTGAGTTTGCCATGCCCGTCAAACGGGTGTCAATATTGTCCAACTTTGTTCCGATGTCTGCCCGGAGCGACTTCAGCTCGCTTAACACTTCAGCTATATTAGCCATATTAGCGTTAGCTTCCAGGTCGCTCGGTGGGCTTGGCGGAGTTGCTTTGCCAGTTGCCGTACTAGTCTTGCGTGTTCGGGTAAAAATATCACACTGTTTGGCTGCAGTTGGTTTGGACATATCAGCGCCGAGTTTTTAGCGAAAATGGTAGCCAGTAAATTAAGGGTTTTTAGGGAAATGGTGCGTGGTTGCACGGAGCCTCCTCACTATGCTGCCATCTTGGTCTCGTCACCATTTATTCTTTTTTTAAATAATTCCTTGTCAAATTCACAGTATTAGTTCTCTGAGAATCTCTTTCACACACTAGTAAAAATTTGTACTGTAACTGAAATATCCCCAATCAAATTAGATTGAATCGGAAATCGACTCGAATCAGAAATCGAATTGAATTGGGACCTTGTGAATCAAAATCGAATCAATTCAGGAAATAAGTGGTGTTACCGAGCCCTAGTCATTAGCATGACAGTAACGTCCTGTTTACAACAGGTATTAACATGTGTCTTGGGTGACTGAATCAAAAGTGGACAGCTCTTACTACAGGCGTGAATGCATCTGATGTGTCCTCCATGCATCTTGAGATCCAATCACTTAGATCCCATTCAGAGGCGGCCCATGTCTGTCTGTTTACACCTGGCATTAGAATGCATCACCACAAGCCTTTCAAGTGACTACTTGTGATCATATCTCATTTCCCCGCTCTTTATGCAAATAGGCATGTACATAATTTCTTTGCACAGCCCCTCCTTGCCCTGCTCTCTACCTCTCTACTCTGTTTAACATGTTTCTGACATTCAAATACCAGGTGTGAACGTACAGTCATAGAGCTGTCCATGTGTGATCTGCTCACCCTGGATGCATGTTAATACCACGTGTAAACAGACTCTATGTTCTGACAGTTTATTCGAAGGAGGTCTCTGAGCCATGGCAACAATAGCTTCATGAATTGGTCAGCACTGTCAAGACAGCTTGCTATCAACAGTGCAAATTTGTGTGTCGAAGTTCACACAATTTACTTTGCCCCCGCGAGCAATTCCACTGATCTAGCGCTTCAATTAAATTAACTGATTTCATCATTTTAAATGCTGGTGTGACCGGGCCATTAGTCTTTAAAAAAAAAAAAAAAAAGTCCTTTCTGTTTACTTTTTGGGTAAAAGCTTTCCACATATTACATTAAAATATTAAAGTCCAACTGAAATTAAAGTGCATGTTTAGAGGGAACAGAAAAATGTCTGATATATTGGCAAAGACTTTTTAATTCCTTCTCTTCCCATAATAATAAAATATTAAAAATAAATTTACGTTGATACTATTTGTTATTGCAAAAAGGGACTGTGATTTCAGCTGGACTTTGAGAAAGAGGCTGCATCCTTAGTCATTAAAAAAAATCCTTTATTGGTGTGTTATCATAATGGTATGAAACAGGTGTATACTCACAGGCCACCTGCACCTCTGTTCTCCTGTGTATGACAGCTCCCATCCTGTTTCTCACCATACACTGATACAGGCCAGCATCAGTCCTCTTCAGAGACGGGACAGACAACCTTATGATGGACGGACACATAGAGAACATGGATGAGGGTGTGTTTTATACCTCTGAGCTGTAAACAGACAGTATTAGGAGGGGAAAGGCAACATTGGGAGTGATGTTTGGACATCAAAGAGACAGAGGGGAAAGAAGGTGGAGGTCTGTTTGTCCATATGTACACACTTGTGTAATTCTCTTTCATGACCTTGATCGGAGAATGGATTCAGCCTAAGGTTGTCAAGGTTCCCCGATAACAGACGGGAAGGCGGAGTGCTGCGTATATATACAGTATGTGTGTGTGTGTGTGTGTGTATGAGAATGTTTGACTTTTTTTTTTTGTTTGTTTTTTCTTTTTTTACTGAGAGGGGTTGTTAATGGGGTTTTAATGGACTGTGCTTCACTAATGGGAAGCTTGGCATAGGATCTAGGTTGGTGCCATGCTGGACAAACACACAAATGCATATACACACAAGCACAGACACACGCACACACACATTTATTACACACAAACCGGATAGACACAGTAAAACTGGACATCGCTTTGGGGCTCATTATGAATACCAGGACAGCCAAGTATTTAACTCCCAGGCTGTCAGTGTATGCTGCCAACATACACAAACCCACACACACATACACACTAATACACACACATGTACATCAAAGACTCACACACGCAAGTCCATTTGAATTAGGAATGACACATTACACAGCAGCTCTCATCCTGAAACAGATTTTGATATTGGACACTGCATCTCTCTCTCCATCCGTGTTCCATTACGTCCTCTAATAGGAGTGTGCGGAGGGGCTGTCACTGCATTTTGTGAAATCCCAACAAGTTTTCCTTTCTATTTCTCGCTAAACACAAACTTCAATGTTGACAGGTCCCAATCAATAAAATAATTTCTCAGTAAATTTCTCCGACACAGTCTTAGCCCTGCGTGTGAAGTCAAATTCCCCGAGTGATTTAAGATCAGAACAATTTCAATCAGGTTTTTCAATAAAGACAGCTTCTGCACAAACTGACCAAACCCTAGAAAAAGCAGTCCGTGAAAAGTAACTCTATTTGTCAGCCAAACTGTTACCAACCAAGATCACCAACATTCTCTTTTCTTTTGTAAGTCTACAGTTCCTTCTGATTATTTTATGGCGACTCACTATGTGTAAAACAGTGTGTAAAAAGGGCGAGGCTACTGTAGCTGAACTGATGCTGAAGAGGGAAACCTAACTGTCGTTTCCATTAATGTAAATCATTTTCACTTACAGCACTGCTCATCTGAATTCTTCACTGTCCAGTACATTAAACAGCATGAGGGGTAATTGAAAATAAAATAAATCAGACTATATTCTAAAGAGAAGGCGTTGAAAAGGAACAAAGTGTGTGATTCTGTGCAGGCCAGATTTATTTTCAATATGTGAAAATGGAACAGAATGCATTTAAATAGCGCTTTAATTCAGATTTCTTTACAATATGTATAACATTCACACACAGAGAGACACATAGTCACACACACTGTACCACACAACACACCAGCCTAACCTCTGGGACCAATAAGGGTTATTTGTGCCTTGCTCAAGAACACTTTGATGAGTGGACAACTCGCTCTGCCAGCCTACATTAAACTAACAGTAAAGATAAATGTAAATAATGTTGAGGTTGTAAAATTAGGGCCTACAACTCCAGATGGTCACACACACACACACGCTCTTTCTCACACAAACACACACTCTCACACTCACTGCACCCTGCCAATTCAGCATAGCCCTGGCCTCACCAAACTAAACTAGCCAGATCGCTGAGAGCAGTCCAGAGCTACCCAACGCCTCCTGGCTCGAACAAAGACTGCCTACAAAATGCTGGCTCAACCTCTCCCTCCCTCGGTGTGTACGCATTCCCAAGATTCCCTCTATTTCTGAATGATGTGAAAAACAATTTTGTTTCACAGCTGCAGTTTTGCTGAGAGGGATTGCTTAGCTCTTACCAACCAACACACATAGGGACAGACGGGGAGAGGAGCAGAGACAGAGGAGGACAAGAAGACGAAGAAGAAGAGGCACAGTGAGAGAAGCAGAGACAGACGCTCAGATGTATTGATTGGTTCTCCTATTCTTTCCCAAGACCATATACATATTTATGGAGCTAATGTAATTATTAATCTCACTTTGGCCCCACTGTCTAAATGTTCTGACCTTCTTGAAACACACTCCATCACTTACGGCCACAGCTCTTTTGCTTTTTTCCATGCCATGGGCATGACTGATCACACAGAAGAGTCTTTGAAGATATTCTCAGAAAGAAGGCAGCAGCAATAAAAGCAAGGTTGTCAGATAGACAGACAGACAGACAGGCATACACTTAGAGACAACTGAGAGATAGATCCATGACTGAAAGCCAGACACATAACCATCCAGTTAGTGATAACTGACCTGTACTGTGGTGTCCAGTCGGTGACGTTGCTGTTGTTGAGCGTCCAGCGGTACTGCAGAGGCCAGCTGCCTCCAGCCAGGCAGGTCAGCACCAGTCTGTTTCCCTCCAACACCACCTGCTGCCCCAATCCACCCCCTCGCAGGTAGGGAGCAACCTCTGACGGACAGAGAGACACAGGAAGGGAAATATGAAGAAAATAAAATATATTTGTTTTGGCAAAAAAAAAAAAAATCCATTTGTGCCCTGTCTTTTGCCCAAAGACTGGGTTAAACAAAACATTGACACACCAATGTCCCTTGATTTTACAGGTTCAGACTGGATTCTACACATTCAGTAAAAATGTTGACTATCTGCTACTGTATTCATTCATGTGTACTTCTTCCCCACTCCTGCAGCCAAAACTCTAACCTTTGCTCCTTCGTACAGTCGCTCTGATTTATACCATCATTATTAAAGAGTAACCGAAACAGGATGTGTGTATGTGTGTGTGTAAGAGAGACAGACTGAGTGTAGACACAACCTGCTGAGACTTATCTAACAGGATTTACCAAGACTTTCTCCGGGCATCCCCCTCTCCATTAGTGAGGTCTGTCAAAGCATTTCTTTACCATTCTTACTTTAGTCATTAGACCTACAGACAAATACTTTGGTGTAAAGTTTCCCTTTGCAAAAATCTCCTGTGAAATGTCCTAAAATCTTTCTGTTATGAACAAAGAAGACAGATGTATTGTATATGCTCTAAATGCTCATTCTTTGATGGATATGATATTAAACATAGCTTCTGGTGTTTAAAACAGCAGTAATTAAAACTGACTGTCAAAGGAATGCTATGTTTGATGCTATCACAATTTTAGATACTGCTTTTAATATATTCCTGGCAATAAAGGTGTTCACATGTATGGCGAACAGTATGATGCATGTCAAAACACTCACGCCTCTTGTTTTCTGTGTAAGCCCACACATCAGCGACATGCATCATCATGTCAGCAAGTCCTATTTCCCAGCATTGATGCGCATCAGCGGTCCAGAAAAGCAGCAATTCTATCACATTTATTCCCTGGAACAACACACCATAACTTGACTATTCTTCTGTCTACACAGAGCATCTGCTGTGTGTTGTGTTGGGTTGTATCACATGCCAGCATATACTGTACCTAAAACCTCACTCCAGTGTATTTTGGCATTTTTATGATGTTTCTTTTTTTGAGTCGTTTCTTGACAATGTTGATGCTGTGCTCAAAGTTTAAAAGTGAAGATGAAATAGGTCATACGTCATCTTCTAAGCATGTGCAGGTGTGCTGTCATGGCTCTTTGCATCTGAGCAGCAATACCAATACATATCCTTGTGAGCTAGCTCGAAAACGTATCTTGTATTTTGGCTACACTGAAAACACAATGGATGGTGATGTATCCTTTTGTCTACACCTGTGGTGCATATACAGCGTAGCGTTGTGTGAGTCACAGGCAAAACAAGATGGTGAGCATTTTTTCTGGGATTGTGTGGGATGGTTTCTTCAGTTTTTGGACCGAGCACAGGGCTGTGAAACTTCATATGTTTCACAGAGTTTTTGTAATATTGGTAAGTTAACACCTACAGACTACAGTCGGCTGTGTAAGGGATAAAGTTACTAAGCAACCGCCAACTGATACTGCCGGCAGGTTGATCAAAATCCCCAAGTGGAAGCTCTCTTGAAGCAGGAAACATTTATTTAAAATAAGGGTATTTCATTATCTTGTTGTTGGCCTTACAGAAACTAGCGAATAAACTAGTTGCCCTTATCAGCTGTTATTTGAATAGTCAAGCTAAGCAGTCGTCATTTCAAAAGTCACTTAATTCCAGTTGATGTTAGATTCATATTCATTCATATTTCCTTCAGGTGAAGGAGGTCGAGAAAAATCCCTCTTCTCATTAATCATGTTGGAATGACCGCTTCTGCTATCCATGTTAATATCCATATTATCACTTTGACATGCTAGAGCCGCATCTGGTTGCCATGGTTATGGATTATGGCCACATAAGAATGTTCAGCCTTGTTCTCCGTTTGAGCAAGAATGTTAACCTAACAACACTGACAGGAGCGGGGCTTTAAGGCTTTGTATGAAGAGAAAGGTCAAACCCTGGTTCACAGTCACTTTGAACCCACACATATAACAAGTTTGGACATCCTTTTGTTAGATGTGATGTGAAATTGATCAGTCAAACAGAGGCAGTCACACCCACTCAAGCTTATGTCATGTAAAGGAGCCTGGACTCAGCTGATACACAACCTTTTATTGTTATCAACAATGGTTCTTCACTTTCTCCGCATCTGTTATGTTCCTCTATCAAGACATTGTGTATTATCACTAACATGCTGCTGGACTATCAAGTATCCAAGCACAGAGACTGTACAATAATGTACAGTGACAGTGACTACAGTACCAACATCACGTCTTTTGATAAGGCTGTTGAATCATTGGCCCTGTCTTGCAAGGTGCATTTGCTGAATGGTTGGGCTGCAGCTGCTGTCTAAACAATGCCATCCAGTCTTTAACTCTTGGCTCAGGTGTTTAAACCTGGCTCACCAGCACACAGCATAGAGGCATCAAGGCTAAAGAGTCTGTCCACTGCAACTAGCTGTAAGGCCTGTCAGCATGTGTTGAGGCCTGGATCCACTAAACAAAAATCTGCATCCTGGTGTGGGATGTATGGTGGGGGTGGGGGGTTGTAGACAAAAAGATTTATTCATGCCATCAACCATTTACACACACATACACACACAAGCTTAGAGGGGGCAGGCTTATCTGTTTGCTACAGTACGTATGGACAGGTCCATAACTCTAAGGCAGAGTTTTACATTCTCTGTTTCTCCCTCTCCTTTTCCCTGTCAACTCAATCTTCTCTCCTCCCTGCCGTTTCAACGTTCTCAGTTCTGTCTCTCCTCCAGTGCTCTCACTTCCTCCCTGGTTCCTTCCTTATTCCTTATTCCCAGTGGATGTTTCAGGGCCACCTTTATTCTCCCTTTCTCTTTCTCCACTTTCCACTGTTTCACCCTCGCCCTCCCTCTCTTTTAGATTGATAGCTGCCTGCTTCATGCACAAGAGGGAAGTGTTCCATCTACGATAGATTTATATGGGACTGTGTGTGTGTGTGTGTGTGTGTGTGTGTGTGTGTGAGAGAGAGAGAGAGAGAGAAACGGTGTGCGAGCGTGCATGTGAGTGTAAGGATTTATTTGGAATATTCCGTTTCTACAGACGATGGCTGGCAATGCAGACTCCAATGTCATACTGCTGACCAGCACCATAACTCACCGCTGCCTGCCTGCCTGTGTGTGTGTGTGTGTGTGTGTGTGTGTGTGTGTGTGTGTGAGAGAGAGCAGCAGAGAGATGCAGCCTTTACAGCTTACCAAATGTGACCCTCAATTAGAAAGGCTGGCGCGCAAACATACTGTACAAATAGAAAGATGTGGACGTTTTGCACCTGCCTCCATCCGTTCCACTTATCTACCACTTTCTTCATACTTCATACCCTGCACAGCTGCGCACTGCCCCCGCCCCCCACTCCACTCCTCATGGCTGTTTAAACCCTTCATGTACTTTAAAGGGAGTCCATTAGGAAGTACAGATAGAGATAGAGAACACCACATCTGAAGAAGAGCAAGGTCAGCTAACAGCCTGTTTCACTCACTGATGTTGTCTGTCTCTCCGCCTCTTCCCCCGCTGTCTGTCTCTCTGTCACTCAATGTCAGCAGGCCACTCTGTCTCCCTCACAGTCTTCCCTGTTCCTAACCTGTCTGTCTTCCTCACAAGCTGTACCAACCAACCACCTGTCTGTCTATCAAGACCACCTCCCCCCTCCCCTCCCCCGCTGTCTCTTGTTGCCCCGTGGTCCATTTCTGTCAAAGTGTGTGGCAGCTCAAGGTCTCCGCTTTTTGTCTCTTCGGGAGGAATGTTGCCAAACAGAGAGACTGGCCTCCAAATGTGACAGGACAGTCATGAGGCACACGTGCACGCCAACACACACTCTTCTCCTGCCGCATCATGTGCGTGTCCCCACTCCTGGGCCGGTCTCATGAAGCTGCTTAGGCAGATTCTGGGGAAGGAATTCAATTTGCCGGGGAGATGAGTGCTGTGATAGAGGGGAGAGGGAGGAGAGGAGGATGAAAGGACAGGAGGAGAAGAGGAGCAGGGTCACTGCTCCAGGGCTGATAGTCCACTATGATCCTGCCCGCCCTCTCTCCTCTCCTCTCTGTCTCTGCACTTTTACAGTGAGTGTAAGTGTGGTGGAAATTAGGCCCTAAGTGACTTGTCCTTTACAAATGGACCAGTAACGATCATTATTCTTTCATTGTGCTGCATTAAACATCCCAAAATTAATCCTGAATTTTACTGCAACAGCTGTGCTGAGATGTGAGGTTTTCTCTGGCTCGACATGAGGTCGAGGAGTTGCTTTACTGGTAACAGCACAGGTAAAGATTTCGATTTTTTTTGTGTTGGAAGTTTGAAATTTAGGTGGTCGAAAAAATTCTTAGGCGGTCCAGTTTGCATTCAGACAAGCAGAGGAAACCCTGTGGTGTAAATGAATTTCAGAGCACTGACATAAGAGAGTGAGAGCACACGGATGAAACTAAAGTTGAACCGTGGATCTCATTCCAACAGTGCCTGCTTAATTATTGGGTATGTGTGTGTGTGCGTGTGTGTGTGTGTGTGTGTGCGTGTACAGTGTGGGACTGTGTGTGTGTCGGGTCAGAATTAGGGTCACTCACTCCAGAGAAATCACTTTATCTTTATAGAGCTGAACCCCTACTGTGAGACAGGGCTGGCAGAACTGGCTATAGTCTATGAATACTGATTCACTGATAGCATGTCTCTCTCTCTCCCACACACACACACACACATACACACACACACACACACTCACCCTTCACCATGCCTTTTTGACGCAGGGGGTTGAAGGGGAGAAAATAACTAAATCAGACTCTTTTATTACTAGTAATTTTTCTATGAATAAGCAGTTAAAAGTTGCATAGCTAGGCAGTTTTTTTTTCATGGTAACAGCAGTCTATTTGATTATGGGGTGCAAATGAGTTCTGCTCCTTTTTAATCTAATAAGTCTGCCAGCGCTTGTTTCAACAGGAATTTAAAAACACTTAATTGGACTGACAGTGTGTGAGGCG